GTGATGGGAGTCAAACTGCAAATACTGGTCTGTGTGGGTGGGTTTGCAGTACACCAGGAGGGCTGTGATCAGTCTTACATCGGGGAAACTAAACAGCCACTGGCCAAAAGGATGGCCCAGCACAGAAGCCCTCTGTGAACAGTAAACAGCCATCAGGTGCTAATGATCCATCGTTAGGCTGATGGTCCTTCTTGAGCATGTGATCAGCTGGTTCTGGTTGTCAGCAGCAAAACTGGTTGATCCACTCTGAGAAGGTGCTATTTAAGAGACTGAGCTGAATACAGCACCTCAGACTGAGGAAGTCTCTCGGATGAGAGACGAAACGTTTCTAGATTTTTTTGCTTTGTTTTGTTTTGTTTTGTTTTTTTGAATGTCCAGAGGACCAGATTGAACTTTTTTGGATATAAAAGTTAAAGTTAAAGAAGTTGTAGATTTCATCCCCTGTATGAGACACACAAACGAATAAAACGTCTGAAATTCTGCGGGACTTAGAAAAATAAATAAATCCAGGAAAGTAACAGCGTTAATGCTGACTCAGGTTTCATCAGCTGGTGACCAGGATAAACCTGATTCTCAACTGAACCTTGAAACTCCACCTGCTTTTAAACTGAAGGACCGGTCCTCACAAAGGCACAGCAACAAGAACAGAAAGCTCACCCACCCACACCAGACTCCATGAAAAAAAAGGTTGATTTTAAAATGAATATGATAGAAGCAGATGTGCCTTTAATGTAAAGGCTGATAGAAGATATTGTCACATTGTGAGGACATGCTCCAGCATTCAGCATGTGTGTTCTCCACCCAGCAGCTTTTACGAGATATAAATGTCATCTGTTGTTTCGCACCGTTCCCTGCCGCCCACCAACACCCAGGACTGACCATCTGGACGATTGTTCTCCAGACACTCTGAGCTCAGCATCGCTGCAACAAAAAGGTTTCATATGACCTGAAGATACAACGTGATGGCAGCCGGTCTGCAGGTCTTCTCTAAAAAGGTCATGTGATGCTTAATGAGGATGGGGAGACCTTTTCTCTAGAGCTAATTTTATCACAGCATCACTTTTACTACAAAAGGTCCAGAAGGAGGATTTCAAATGGACACAATTGTATTTTCTGTTTCATTCTGCAGATATAAAACCAAGAATGACTTGAGACTGAGTTCCTGCAGGTCTTCCATCTCCTGACTGCAGCTCCAGTTCCTGTTTTCAGTGGGAGGATCACGTTACTAAACAGGCTTCTTATATAAACACACTGATCTCAAATCAGCTTTAAACAGAACCAAAGAGCTCTGTGTGAAAACAGGAGCTGATGAGGATCCAGGTTTGATGCATTTGTCCTCACATTCCTCCAAACAAAACGTTAATCTGCAGCTGAACATCTCTTTCTTTGAACAGCTTCCTGCACTTCACTATTCCACCACCATGTTTCCTTATCATCCATTCTCTGTCCAGATGACACACCAAGTACCTTCCTACCTGTCTCTCTAATTACTGTTGCTGTAGTAGTCCAGTCCTCTGGAAGCTCTTTCTTACCACCCAGAGCCTTTAACAGCTCCTCTCTGAACTTCTCACATCATTCTTCCTTCTTCGTCTTCCACCATTTGGTCTTCTTCTCTGATTTGACTCTTTTTCTCTTCTCCACAACAACAGTCATTCTACACAGAACCATCCGATGCTGTCTGGCCACACTCTCCCCTGCCACAACCTTACAGTCTCCAATCTCCCTCAGGTTTCCTCTTCTACACAGAATGTAGTCGACCTGCGTACTCCTTCCTCCACTCTTATAGGCCACTCTATGCTCCTCCCTCTTTTGGAAATAGGTGTTGACTACAGCCATTTACATTCTCTTGGTGAAATCCACCACCATCTGTCCTTCCTGGTTTCTTTCCTCGACACCAAACCTACCCATCACTTCCTCATCCTCTGTTTCCTTCACCAACATGTCCATTCAGGTCTGCTCCATCACCACTCTCTCCTCCCTGGGAATACTCTCCATCACTTCATCCAGATCTTTACAAAATGTATACAGGTCCTTCTCAAAAAATTATCATATTGTGATAAAGGTCATTATTTTCCATAATGTAATGATAAAAATGAAACTTTCATATATTTCAGATTCATTGCACACCAACTGAAATATTTCAGGTCTTTAATTGTTTTAATACTGATGATTATGGCATACAGCTCATGAAAACCCAAAATGCCTGTCCCAAAAAATGAGCATATCATGAAAAGGTTCTCTAAACAACTATTAACCTAACTATCTGAATCAACGACGTAACTCTAAACACCTGCAAAAGATTCCTGAGGCTTTTAAAAACTCCCAGCCTTGTTCATTACTCAAAAACACAATCATGGGTAAGACTGCCGACCTGACTGCTGTCCAGAAGGCCATCATTGACACCCTCAAGCAAGAGGGTAAGACACAGAAAGAAACTGCTGAAGGAATAGGCTGTTCCCAGAGTGCTGTATCAAGGCACCTCAGTGGGAAGTCTGTGGGAAGGGAAAAGTGTGGCAGAAAACGCTGCACAACGAGAAGAGGTGACCGGACCCTGAGGAGGATTGTGGAGAAGGGCCGATTCCAGACCTTGGGGGACCTGCGGAAGCAGTGGATTGAGTCTGGAGTAGAAACATCCAGAGCCACCGTGCACAGGCGTGTGCAGGAAATGGGCTACAGGTGCCGCATTCCCCAGGTCAAGCCACTCTTGAACAAGAGACTGCGTCAGAAGCATCTCACCTGGGACTGCTGCTGAGTGGTCCAAAGTTATGTTCTCTGATTACAGTAAATTTTACATTTCCTTTGGAAATCAAGGTCCCAGAGTCTGGAGGAAGAGAGGAGACACAGAATTCACATTGCTTGAGGTCCAGTGTCAAGTTTCCACAGTCACTGGTGTGTCGTGTCATCTGCTGGTGTTGGTCCACTGTGTTTTATCAAGGGCAGGGTCAATGCAGCTAGCTATCAGGAGATTTTGGAGCACTTCATGCTTCCATCTGCTGAAAAGCTTTATGGAGATGAAGATTTCATTCTTCAGCACAACCTGGCACCTGCTCACAGTGCCAAAACCACTGGTAACTGGTTTACTGACCATGGTATTACTGTGCTCAATTGGCCTGCCAACTCTCCTGACCTGAACCCCACAGAGAACCTGTGGGATATTGTGAAGAGAAAGTTGAGAGACCCAAGACCCAACACTCTGGATGAGCTTAAGGCCGCTATCGAAGCATCCTGGGCCTCCATAACACCTCAGCAGTGCCACAGGCTGATTGCCTCCACGCCACGCCGCATTGAAGCAGTCATTCATGTAAAAGGATTCCCGACCAAGTATTGAGTGCATAACTGAACATGATTATTTGAAGGTTGGAGTTTTTTGTATTAAAAACACTTGTCTTTCATTGGTGGGATGAAATATGCTAATTTTTTGGGACAGGCATTTTGGGTTTTCATGAGCTGTATGCCATAATCATCAGTATTAAAATAATTAAAGACCTGAAAAATTTCAGTTGGTGTGCAATGAATCTGAAATATATGAAAGTTTCATTTTTATCATTACATTATGGAAAATAATGACCTTTATCACAATATGATTATTTTTTGAGAAGGACCTGTATTTGTCGTCCTCATCACATCCAACCTGTGGAGCATAACCAGTGACAACATTTAGCATCAGACCTTCTACTTCTACATTCAGACACACCCTATCTGACACTCTTTTCACCTCTACTACATACTTTGCCAACTCTTCCTTCAGGACCACCCCTACTCCATTTCTCTTTCTATCCACACCATGGTGAAACAGTTTGAACCCTGCTCCAATGCTGCAAGTCTTGCTGTCCTTCCACTTGGTCTCTTGGACACATAAAACATTTACCTTCCTTCTCAGCATCATGTCAGCCAGCTCTCTACCTTTGCCTGTCATTGTCTCCACATTTAGAGTTGCCACCCTCAGTCCTACATTCTTCACTTTCCTCTTCTCCTCTGTCTCCTGACACGTTTCCCTCCTCGTGGTCTTCAACCGATGAGATTCTCCTGAAGGTCTGAAACTCTCTTGAACTTCTAAATTCCTCCTGAAGGTCTGAAGTCCTGGTTTAGCCACACAAAAATGCTCTAAGAGTGATTTCGAGCTAATAATGAGCTAAAATGTGGTGGTATATGAGAGTCAACACGCACTCTGAAAGGCGGCGGAGGATGTTCAGTCCTTCAATGGTTAGATTCAGACTGGCTTTGAGTTTTATTCCATTTTATTTAGTTTTATCAAAATATTTTAACTTACTATATTTTTGCTTTATTTTGCTTTACGTGATCTTTTTCTTAATGTGTCTGATGTGAGGAGACATGTTTTATATAAATTAATGTTCTTTCATTAGAATGGTGTGAAAAGACAAAACATCTGCAGACATGCACTGACTGTCCTGTGATGTCCACCGATGTCCCTTTATGTTCTTTGATGTCCCCTGACTGTCCTCTGATGTCCAGATACACTATAATTTCCTCTGCTGTCTTGTAATTTACTTTGATGGCCCCTGATATCCACTGATGTCCCCTGACTGTCTAATATCCTCTCATGTGCCTTGATGTCCTCTGGTGTCCTATTACTGTCCTCTAGTATCCTCTGATGCCCCAGGATGTCCTCTGATCTACTCCAATTTCCCCTGACTTTCTTCTGATGTCCTCTGATTGTCCTCTGGTGTCCCCTGGATGTCCTCTGATATCAAAGTCGAAGTCAAAGTTTCTTTATTTGTCGTTCCACCACGTGGGACATGTGGCTTCACACAGCTGAAGGTTCTGTCCAACCCGATCCACATCATCAGAGCAGAATCTCTGCAAAGAAACAGCTGGAAAGAAGTTTACTGACGGGACTGAACCTCTCAGGGTCAGACCTCGGAGGTGTTTATCCTCGGAGAACAATGCTGAGGTACCTTCCATGACGAAGACCAACGAGCCCACATCTCCTTCCTTGATGATGCAGGCGTCCATCCCGTAGTCCACTGGATACATGCAGTCCACAATCTCCTGGATCTGAGACAGCTCCAGGTTCTTCATGAAGTCATTGTCCAGGATGGCGTCTTTTATAAGTTCTTTGGACCTGAGAGGAAGAGGAGGTTAGAGATACACACCTTCATCAGGCTGGAAGAGAAGAACTGACTGTACAAATCAGACCCAAGAGACAGAAAAAGAGATTAAAATGTTAAACCATGACTGAGACACGTTCATGTTTCAGATTCAACCTAAAAACAGAAACCTGAATGTTCTCAGAGCAGAACATGTTCGTTAACAGATGAGCGCATTAACAGAGGAGAACAAGAGGAGGAACACCAACACTGAAACACTGGAACATTGAAACAGTGAAACACTGGAACATTGAAACACTGAAACAGTGAAACACAGAAACACTGGAACAGTGAAAGAGTGAATCAGTGAGAAACAGAAACATTGAATCAATGAAACACCAGTAGTGAAACACTGGAACAGTGAAACAGTGAGAAACAGAAACATTGAAACAGTGAAACACTGGAACAGTAAATCAGTGAGAAACAGAAGCAATGAATCAATGAAACACCAGCAGTGAAACACTGAAACAGTGAAACAATAAAACAGTGAAACAGTAAAACATTGAAACACTGAAACATTGAAAAAGTGAAACACTGTAATAGTGAATCACAGAAACAATGAAACACTGAAACAATGAAACACTGAAACACTGAAACACCGAATGAGAAGCACTGAGACACAGAAAAGTGAAACATTAAAACAATGAAACACTGAAACAATGAAACATTGAAAAAGTGAAACACTTAAACATTGAAACAATGAAACATTAAAACAATGAAACACTGAAACAATGAATCATTGAAACAGTGAAACACTGAATCAGTAAAACACTGAAACACTGAAACAGTGAAACACTGAAACATTGAAACACTGAAACATTGAAACAATGAAACA